TTTCTCCCATCAACCTCCTGCTGTGGGGCTGCCCAAGGGAAGTCGGTGCAAGGTACATCGATTTTAGCTATGCAATTCACATAGCTGGAGTTGTGTACCTTACATCGATTTTCTTCGCCAGTGTAGAGCAGGCCTAAGCGAAGAAGAAACAAGACTATCGGACACACAAAAACTGCATCTGCTAAATTAATTTACTGACATCAGCGTACATTACTCAAGACAGCCTTCCAATCCTGGAGTTTGCCAGCACTACTAGAAAGAATTTAGTCTTCAAACTGTAGCACTGAATTCTTCAAACCACAGGGCCGTAATTGATCAGAAGTTACATTCCCTGGGAAACTAGAATAGAATGTAAACGAAAAGCCACAGAGTTATGGCCCCTAACCAAAGGATCTCAGCCATATGAGTCTTAGCATCTCTTCCCCAGAGTTTGACTCAAATATGATTTATTCATATTAGGACCGGGACATCTTATTCCAAAAGTCTTTAAAGACAGAAAACGTTAAGTCAGTTTCTAACTCTTGCAAGTTCTTTTAATACCAAGCCAAACTGAGCGGGATCAATCCACATTAATTGGCACTCGGCTCTGTCTCTCTCATGTAGTATTTTTCCTCCATGTATTCAAAGTGCCCTGCTTAGAAAAGACGTATCATTACCAACAATGTACAGCTGGAGAAAATTGGAAACCAGCAACCCGCAAGATCAACCAGCATGTCACTGGCAACCATCCGTAATCCAACTCCCCTGGGTCCCAGTCCATTGTTCACCCTGCCTCATGAACGTGATCATTTTAACTGTGTAGGTTGAACGCCCTGGTGCCAACAAGCGCAAGCTGCTATTTGCCCCTGTGGCTTCACCCTGGTTTCAAGCAGGGGAAAATCATCTAGCAGGTATTTGAGAGAGTTTGTCTGTTGATGAGCCAGCGAGTTTATCTGTCCATCTGTTTGTTCAAGAACTCCTCCTAAATAGTAAGAGATAGGGCCACCAAACTTGGTATGCAGCTTCCTCTTGTATCTTAAAGCAAGGTAAGGGTTTGATTGTGTGTGCGGGGAAGGGGGGGGGCTGAAGCTCTCTGCCCCCAAGCATACAGGGATCTATAAAACCATGCAGAAAAAGACAAATCACTAGGCAGGTGAAAGAAGGGGAGTTGTCTCCCCTCTCTGGGATGGCCCTAGCCCTCAGCCTCCTGCCCCCCTATGTGCCCTTTAGGGAGGGTGGGAGGACTAAAACTCACCCCCCACTTGTATGGGAACATTGCTGGCTACTCCCCTTCATCAGGGAGCAAGGGAAAAGTGCCCAGTTCACTCCATTCCTCTCTTGGCTGGGGAGTGCAGGGAGCAGATGAACCTGGATTTGCTCCAGCTGGTCTGTGCGCCCGCCCCCCCAAAAAAGGACCCTAAGAGTTAAGCAAAACAAAACACCAGCATGGCCCCTTTAAGAAATGCTTTTGAGGCTTTTGGGCCCTAACAGGCTGCCAGCAGCCACCCGCCATCTTGGCTCCGAGCTCCGGGCCAGACAGCTCCCCTGCGTAATCAGGTAAGCACCCAGGATTTTCACCTCCTGGCCGGGGGGGGGGAGAGAGTCGGGAAAAAAAAATCAGAAAATACCAGACATTTTAGGTGTCCGATATTTTCTGAGTTTTTTTTTTTTTTTAAAACCAGACAGGAGGCAAAAATACTGGACTGTCTGGGTCAATACCAGACACCTGGCAAACCTAGCTGGGGGACATGCACCCCTCCCCCGGCTGTGCCCACTGAAGCTGCAGCAGCCATGGAGAGGCGCTTCTCACCTGGCTGCAAGTGAGAGCTGGGGCTGTCCTCTCTCTCTAGGGCAGCGTGCAGACAGAACCCCTCCTCCTCAGCCCCACCCCAGGGCAGCGATTGAAATGGAGGAAAAACAAAAAGTTATCCGAGTTGGAGATCCAAGCAACATCAGGCAAATCTTCTAGTGATTTATGAGGTTTTTCCCCTCTCTGTGCGAGCGATTTGGATGGCTGAAGTTACACCAATGCTGGAGGTCAAACAAACAGTTCTTTGAGTACTAGACAGTTCCAGATCTGGCTGAAGCGGATGGATTTCCCCCATCCCTCCCCCTTTTCCTTCATGTTTTCACCATACTAAAACCCACTACCTTTCTGTGATGCGAGAGAGGGTGATGCCTAACACATTTCTGGAAGTTTTGGAACGGGTTGGATGTGACATTCAAATACAGTCGGAGACAGGACATCAAGTTGAGCAGAGGCTCTTGCTTTGCTCAGCCAACGAATCACGTGTGTCAAGTTTGCTGTCCCTAGAAAAATGCTGTTAAATTCCATAAGAATTCACTGGGAATGAAGATAAATATGGGCTTGCGCAAGTACTTCTTCATGTAGTCGCCTGTCCGTGCAATTTAATGAGCCAGCCGGTCATCAAGTACATCAGGTCCTGTAGCTAGAGGTTTCAAAGGGCTGGATTATTTTACGACAAGAGATTTTGCAGTTATGCATGGCTTAGATAAGGGCAGTCACACTGCTTGCTGCAGGCAAAGGCTGACCGGGAAGGAATTCCATTGTGGAGTGTCCACCAGGTACAGAGCTCTACCTGGCTTTCTGTGAACTCGTGACGGTTGAGTCTTCTAGAGCAACTAGTAAGTACTGTTGGAAGCTGGATACCAGATTTGCTGAACACGTGGCATGAGCTAGCATGGCAAGTTCGACATTGCTACCTTTGAAATCGGAGATCAGAACCAGTTACCGTTCAGAGAGACACTCTACTCATCCCATCACACTCGCGCCAGCCGAGTTTAATCGTGCCTCAAGTCACCCTCTGTCTACGCTTGTAATTAAGCGACACAACTTTTGTCCTTCACGGATGCTTAACACCAACACAAATTTTGCCCTGGAAAGTGCACGCTGCTGTGTCGGCAGAATGCTCTGCTGCCAACAAAGCAAAAGCTGCTTGTGGGGGCCGGAAGTAGTTTGTTGGCAAGAGTGCCAACCAACAGCATGCACACGCATCCGCTTTTAGCGACACGGCTGCGTGGACACAGCCTTGTCGTGAACAGCAGCGTAATGGCTAAGCAAGCATGACAGAGAAAAGGTGGTTGAGGTCATCTCTCATTCATGGGTGGCGGGTAATGCGGGCAAGAGAAGGCATTGCCTTCCCAGAACTGCCTTCGCTGCCAGGGAGGGCTGGGGCTCACCATGTGACAAACTCAGTCCTCCGGGTGGCCAAGAAGGATTGGGCTTGAAGGCTGGGGTTGGGCAGGGCTTGGCAGGGGGTGGGGTCTTGGAGAAGGGGTGTGGCTTGGGCTTGCCTTCAACCAGTGGGACCTCACCTGCTACCCATGCTTTCATTGTACCCATTTCAGGCCCTTTTATACATTACAATCCAACACCCAACAGCCCTCTTCACTTCGAATGACCACCTGCAATAACCCCCTCAGAATTTGGGGCAGATTATAAAGCAGTTAGACACTCCACTTCCTTCCATCCCCAGAGCCAGAGAGCTATCTAGCACAAAAGCTTATACCTTCCCCTACCAGAAGCTGGTGTGTAAATAAAAAATAAAAAAAAATAAAATGACCTCACTCACTTTGTCTCCCATATCCTGGGACAAAACACAGCTTTAACAAACACTGCAAACAACGAAGAAAGCATGTGAGAAATTGATACTGATCTTACAGACACAAGGTGGGTGAGGTAATCTCTTTTATTAGACCAGAATTCTTATTATTCTGATGGAAAGAGAGAGAAACTTTTGAGAACACACAAAGCTCTTCAGGTCTGGCAAAGGTACAGGTAAATAAATACAAGATCTTTTGGCAGTTATGGCATATTCTAAGGAACCACTCAAGGTGAAGTGGCCCATTAACAGCCCTGTAGTCTTAGGGGCTGGATCCAGGTCCCCCACCCGTAGTTTAACCAGTTAACGGATTAACAGGGATTTTTACACCTCTGGGATGGGCTAGCAACCTGAGTAATTACCCAGGGTACCAGGCGGGCATGTACACCACACACTGGAGCACACATTTTGCCTGACTCTGCTGCTCCAAGACACACTAGCTTGGGTACCTCTACATAAGCAAAGAATCACAGCAACGTAGACAACCCCTAAACGCCAAGGAAGTCAGGCCTTTACTGCATCCTGGACCTGGGAGGAGAGACCTTACTGAAAGCAGAACTGAAAGCAGCATTTGGTGTATGCAGCTCTAAATCCAGTTGTCAACAGCAGGAAGGTGGTGTTTTGCTTAGTGATGTTAGATATAGTTTGAGTCAATACTCATGTAGCTGTACAAAATCTGAGCAAGCTTCCACTAGTCCTAATAAAGAAGGCATCAGCCTCCAGAGCCTGGGATTGTGGGTTTGAGTCCCACCCACATTTCCTTCTCCCCACCCCAGATAGGGGATGCTGTGGTTTGACAGCAGCTCCTGTCCGCGGGGGACCCAAGTTCCCCGTGGACAGAGGCGGCGCTGGTATCTCACCTGCCCCCTACCCTCACACTGCTGGCTGATACAGAGGCAGCAGCACAGGGGTGGGGCAGTTCGTGAAGCCACTGTTTGTGGGGAGCTGGCTTTTAAGCAGGCTGTCCACAAGCACCGGCTCTCGCCTCCCCCTTACCTTGGAGAGAAGCAGCAAGGGGGGCAGGAGGCTCCACGGAGCTGACTTCTTGCATGTACCAGCTTCTGCCAGCCTCCCTCAGCCTCCCTCAGCCTCAATATCAGAGGCAGCAACACGGCAGGGAGAAGGAGGAAGAAGAGGTGGCTCCACAGGATCAGGTGTTTGTGGGGAGCCATCTTAAAAGTCAGCTCCCCACAGGCACTGCCCCCCCCACTTTGCCTCTGTATCAGAGGTAGCTGGAGGGGGGGGATGCACGTGTAGTCAAGCAAGTAGCCAATAAGCTCAGGCTTATCGGTTTAGCATTTACAAAACTATACACTAACATCCCCAATTTTGCTAGTGGTCTCGTTGCTGCTGCTGGAGTGAAATCCTGGCTTACCAGCAGTAGGACCAGGGCTTTACCTTTGTGTTCCGAAGTCTAGCTCCTCCGAATGACTTCATGTTTCTTTCACAGGCTCCACCTCCATCAACAGTAACTGTGTGGGCCGAGGGAAGGCTGGACTCTTAGCTGGCATGAAACAGGCGTAGTGCCACAGAGCAAAATCAATTACACCAGCTGAGAATCTGGCCACAGGGTCTTTTAATCCCCACCTTATCTGCAGCAGCAGCAGCACCACCAAAAAAATCCAAACAGCGTCCAGAGATCACAGGACTGCGGCGATGTCTGTGCAGGCGGAGGAGGGACTTTCAGTTTTGCTCATGAAAGAGGAAATGATTTCTCCATGCGTTGCTAAGCAAACTTCATGAGACAACACCAGTGCAAGTGCACCCAGGGCGGAGGCGGGGCGGGGAGTCCAAGAAAAACCACACACACACACACACACACACACCCCTTAGGTAATGCGCTGCAGCTAGTTACCAGATGAGAGAGGCAGACCGTTGGGTTTTCCTTTGAAACTTCCACCATGCCACTAGCTGACAGCTGAACAATCACCATCACCAAGCCCTGCTGCAGCGGGTTATTTCTGCCTTGTCACATGATCCGTACAGCATCATTTCTGGGTCAACTGAAGGCCACGCGCGCCGTTCCTCCCTCCTCCTTTCAAGCTCACAGCGTCGGCGCTGTAACTGCTACACAGATCTCTTCCCAGCCAGGTGAGGGGGAGGAGGGGAAAAAATAATCAACCAGCTTTCTCAAATGGAGACCACTATGCTCGTCACCTGCCTGCAATATATGGAAACACAGGAGTCTATGTTCCTTGCAGCAGGTGCTGTCCTCACCTTAAATAGCAAAAGGCTTCTCCCTGGGTGCACACCAAAAATGAAACACACACACCTCCCCAGTGGTGCACTGGGTCTTCTGCTCAGACCCACCAGGCCTGCACTAGAACTGGCAGCTCAGCTTACGGCAGTCTCTCAACCAGTGGTACGAGTACTTTTAGGGGTACTCGAGAGAAGTCTAGGGGGTATAGAGGGTATGTCGACTTTTGATTTAAGCTTTACAGCACTTTATTATTTTTGTACTTTTTACATCCAAAAACTTCATCACCTCCCCCCCCAGCTATGATTAAGTTGCTTAAACAAACGTATTGCAATCGTAGAAAAAAAAATGTGCGTCTGAAAACGGTAGGTACTCGGGGGGTACTTTTTTTTTTTTTTTTTAATAAACATGTCCCTTATTTAAAAAAAAAAAAAAGGTTGAGAAACACTGTCTTAAGGTACATCACTACAGCTACGTAGAATGCATTGCTAGAGTCGACATACCTTAAGATGAGCTTGGCAGCAGCCCCCAGCAGGAGGCCGAGGGGAGCAAACGTCCTTCCCTTACTCCTCGCAAAAGGAGAAATATCAGACACTGGCAGGGGCACTCTGAGTTTGATTTAGCGAGTCTTAAATAGACTCGCTAAATGAAACTCAGGAAGACTGATAAGCCAATCTTCTGTTTGGCGTAGACAAGAGCTCAGCTGAACTCAGACTTGCCTTCAAGTATCCATCTCCCTCCTCTATTTCAGCTCTACTGTGCTCCCATATGTACGTCATTGTGCTCCCTATGTACCAATGGAGCATACGTCCCCCTGCTGCCCAGATCACAGGGCTACAAGATGATCATAAAGAGCCTTACAACTATTCACCTCTCTCTCATCCACCTGGCAACCAATGCATGTGCCACATCTCCACTTCAGGATGTGTTACAGGCAGGGCTCTGGTCTGCCAGATACCACTAACCCCCACCAATGAGCTCCCACCCAAGCCCATTCACGTTCTCTCCCTTCCCCCTCCCCCACCAAAGCCCATTTCAAATCCTGTCCAAATTCACAGGCAGCTGAACTGTATCAACTGCACCGAGTCCGGAGACCGCCTGGCCCCCAGCAACAGGGAAGCGTCGGGAATGGCTTTGCAGAGAGGGGCAGAAAGCATGGATGAGCTTTGCCTTACACCAGTGGTCTCTACTGTGCTCACACAAGGCCTAGTACTGGATTCAGCCCTGTGGGTGTTTAGGAGCTACCACCATATAAAATAATAATTTCAGAGAAAGGGGGGTTTATGGTTTAGGTCACTGGTTCCAGGCTTGGGAGACCCTGCTTTGCCACAAACTGCCTGCAAGCCCGTCTTGCCAGCTGACTGGGGAGGACTGGGTGGGACTTTTCCCCATGGGGGGAGATTTCTGCAAGGGTGATGTCATGGGTGGAAGGGTTGGGGCCTTGGCTTTCCTAAATCAGTGGGAATTAGGTGCCCAAAACATTGGGAACGAGTAGTCCTGCGGCACCTTAGAGACTAACAAAAATATATAGGATCATGAGCTTTCGTGGGCAAAAAGCTTATTTCAAAATGAGCTCATCTGAAGAAGTGGATTTTACCCATGAAAGCTCACGATGCTATCTATCTATCCACACACACGGGACTAGGGATGTAGCAACTAGTCGAATTACGTGGCTACTCACTTCCTCCTCCCCTCCACCCAACGCTTGCTGCCTCTGTCTGGCCCAAGTGGTGTCAGAGGCAGCAGGGGAGAATCAGGACCTGGTGCTGGGGGTGAGCCAGCTTAAAAGCTGGTTCCCCACAGCACCATCTCTGTGTGTGGGGTGGGAAGGGGAGGGGGAAGCAGGGAAGGCAGAGGTGCAATGGGGAACCAGGCACGAGCTGGGAATCAGCTGTCCCGGTTCGCGCCTGGTCCCAGAAGCTGCGCCTCTGCCTTTGAAATGTAGCAAGAGCTGCCCACGGGGAGAGCGAGCGTCCCCCTCCCTCCTTACCAACTAATAGAGTAGTTGATGGAAATTCCTTCAACTGCTCGATTAGCTGATTAATCGAAATTTAATATCCCTACACAGGACGACTCATTTTTGAAGTTACAGACTAACATGGCTTCCCCTCTGACACTCTTACAAAACACTGAGCATCTTGGCCTTGGGTACATCTATCCAGCAGAGTCCTCCAGCTGGTGTCTACAAGCTGGGGCTGGCAGGACTCCTGCCACACTCCCATCACTTCCAATCACTGTGCTGATGGTGTGTTTAAATTGTAGCGTGGGCCCTATGTAGCTATTCCAGCATTCGCTCCAACCTAGCATGGGATCCAGGCTGGGAGGCTCGCAGCCCAAGTGGTGTCAATCCACTCGGTGCCCGTGCTCCCCGGCTACCAAACACGTCCACTGCAGCAAGCTGGGATGTAAGTCTACCTTGCCGCCAGCTGCCACACGAATGGTCCATGAGGACCCTGCGGCTGCGGGCCACGTTCTGCAGGGCGCTCCAGTCGACCCTGCTTTGGAACTGGAGTCTCAGTGCTCTAGGGAACCTCTCAGGCACGGCAGCAGAGTCCACCCAGGCCCTTAGCAGGGATGTTAAAAAGCAGGTTTTTTAAAGGTTCAGAGATTACGCGTTTACATGCAGGGGGTGGGGGGTAGCTCCCCATGACTTCTACCTGTTCTCCCTCCCCACTGCCACTTCTGATACAGAGGCAGCGGGGGAAGGGGGCGGAGCACTGGTTAACCCTTATGGTTACACATGAGGAGTCCAGACTCACTGGTTAAGCATTTAAACAAACACACTAGACCAGTGTTTCTCAAATGGTGCTCCGTGGAACCCTGGGGTTCTGCAAAGTGCGGCACAAGGATTCGATCACTCCCCCTTCTCCCTCTTGAAGAGGCAGAAAGGAGCTGGCGCACAAAGACTTTCCTTGCCAGCTTTCAGACACTTCCCTTCCCCCATCCTTTTCCTGCGTCCTTTTTTGGAGGGGGGGGGGCCTCAACAAACTTTCTCCCCAGCCGTAGGGGTTCCTTGAAATTTTCCCAGTTTAAAACAGTTCTGTGGCCAAATAAAATTGGGAAACACTGCACTAGACACATCCCTAGCCCATACAGGGCAGCAAGTTAGTGTGGGGTAGATTTACACCCTGGCTTGCCATGAACTGTTTGTGTAGACAAGCCCTAGGCCTGTGAGGGGCTCAGGTGCTAGAGCACTTAACTAAAATCATCCTCCGAGTAACTTGTTGGCACATGCCCCTGGAGCCGCACCAGCGGGTCAAAGGGGCCCAGAGGTCATGCCAAACGTATGCCTCACCGTAGGATTGTAAATTTTCAGTCCCTTGCTGTGTTAATTGCCTCCCTCCTCCCGGAAAGAAAAACAAATATCCCCTCACCATTACAGTCAGCACAGCCAGAAAGCCGTAGAGCGATGGGGACAAGGATCATAAACAGCTCACAATTTGGAAGGAAACACCCCGGGGGCTAGAGGGGGGGAGCCATTCTAACCCAGTGAGCAGCACTCTCTCCCAACCTCCCTTTTCAATTCCAAACCTCAGGAAGGGGGGCTTTAAGGACACTATCATGTCCAAGACGGCGTGTGCGCACACAGAGGATAACTCTCAGGCAGATCAGATTGCACAGTGTGGGGAGATTAAAGGAGGGGGGAAAATCTATGCAAGTGTCAACTTCTCATGAAAATAAAGGACTAGAATTTACAGCTAATGTAAAGTTTGACACTTCTTCCAGCAAGGTCAGGAAGGATACAAATAATTCTAGGCTCTCACGGTGTTTTTGCTCCTCCTTAGTTCAAACTAAGGATGTTAAATTGAGATTATCTGGCTACTCATGTAGTCGATACAAATTGTATCGACTACACGATTAGTCAGGAAGGGCAGCTCTGCAGAGCCACAGCAGGGGTAGCTCTAGGAGCCAGAACTCAGCATCCAAGCTCCAGCTCCAGCAGGCTGTTACTATATTTAAAAAGCAGAGGCGTAGAGTCCCAGACCAGAGTGAGCCAGGAGCGCTCGGTCCTGGCTCGCACTGAGTCCAGCAGCCCCTGTTTGTGGAAGCCAGCCCTGATCACCACGAACAGAGGCTCCTCTCGTACCAGCTCCTGCACGCAGCCAGACGGGGCTGCGCAAATATGGGCTGCTTAATGACAGCAGCCCCTGTCCGTGGGGTGGGGGGGCAGCAGCTCCCCACCGGGACCCCTGTGGACAGGGGCTGTTGCCAGAGCAGCCTCCCCCATCCCCCCTCTGACAGAGGCAGGGGGG